GAGTCTTGACAGCCCGTCCCTTCAGTCGTTCTGCATCGGCGATGACAATTGTGAACCATTTGCTTTCAAGATCCTGTGAGACCTGATGTTCCTCACGATAATTGCGAGCATCGACACCCATTCGGACCTCCTTGATGTCATCTATATAGAACCGTTTCGTCGGGTTCGAAATATCCCAGTAAACTTTCCCAGCGTCGATGTCAAAAAAGAAGCGCACTTGCTTCCGTCGTTTCTTGGTGACTTTTGTCAGGACTGTGCCACGCTGGATCATCGCATCAAGCTTCGGTGCGACTGCACTAACGATGCGAGTAGGAGGAATGAAACTCTCATTCTGCAAGCTAGAAGCCTCGGAGCCACACCAGACTCCCAGAGAGTCCAGAGCATCGTTGCTGTCTTCTTCATTACTGGACTCAAGCGCACTTTCCCAGCTATTTTGTCCAGTCTTGCTGTCACTACGTCTGCGCATAATAACGGGACCGGAGCTACGGTCCCGTTTATCATTCTGCGTCGCGGATTGCCGCCTCCGAGTGAGCTTGTTGGCTGCCCCTCGAGAGATTCTGCGCATCAACCCCGGGCCTTTGTTTGTCGTTTGGGTTGCCGCATCTCCCGAGCCGGAAGCACTAGCATTCCCGGGAACAGCCATAATTGAATCTCCAAGCTCTAGATGGGCTGGGGGGATCAGAGGGAACGAGGGAATTCGACCACGGAGCGCGTCAGTAGCTGATTGCAGAGGGGTGCCTGAAGGGCTCGAAGCATTGGAGAAGGTATGCGAAGGACGTAAAGAGTTAGGTGTATATGAGTATAAGGAGGCACAGGGCGGAGCGGAGGAGGGATTGGGGGCGGGGGGAACAGATGTGTTGACATTATGTAGTTTTGGAGGTTTCGGGAGTGAGCCAGTGACTTTTAAACTTGCTTGGGTGTCGCCATTGAAGGTTGAAGGCGACGAAGCGGCGGCGTAAGCCATTGCGGATACCTGCCAGACGTAGCACCCGGCTGCAAAACGTGAGACTGTAGACCTGTCGTGAACCGTGCCAAAGCTGGAGTCACCTGGACTCTTCAGGGGACGAATGAACAGCGACGTGCAGTAACTAGGCGGCTGTGTTGACCCTGATATGGCGGCCTATAGCAAGAATGCAATACGAGCCAAAAAGGGGAACGTGTCTGGCTGAGCGATGCAAAAGCCACTTGCTTAGCGGGATTGCTCTGTCTTTGATATCTGCATCTTGGCCTGCCTCTGATGCAATGCGGAGAGCCCTGCCGGAGAGCGCTCGCGAGAGTACGGGATCCGGGTTCCTGATAACAATTGAGACAGACACTGGCTTCGTGTAACAATGGCACTGCGCGGGTGGGGGGGAAGGCTCTTTGATCGCTTGTTTTGTCGTCAACCCAAGTAAAGCCAAAAAAACGATGAATGACTTGGCACCCTCAGCCTTGGTCTCCGATTATTTTTTTTCCGGAACTGATTTTCGTCAGGTTTTCCTGATATGATCTGATTTGCCCGCGTTGTATCCTATTTTGGTGCCCTAATTTTACCCCTCCTCAGTTGGCGGATCTCCTAGTACGCGGGGAAAGCTGTCCCTCTGCAGCAAATATGCGAGGACGTGTGGAGCTCGAACCAATTGGCCGTGGTTGGTGCCGGCGGGTTGAGGTTCTTTTCCTGTGCGAGGCAGGAGGACCGAGGGACCCTCCAAGGCGAGTATTGAAAGGTAATGGGAACAGAAATTGGTGAGCGAAATAATGCAAGTCAATAGCCGTGTGCGCCGCGCATGTGCTTAGCTGTCAGCAGAGCCCCTCCGAACGTAGCTTCTACAGACGCCAAAAGGTGTGTGTGTATGTGTGTGCGTGGGTGTAAAGGTAAAAAAAAAATAATTATTGTTGGAATTGAACAGGGAGAATCGGCTTCGCGTCGATTGGCGTCACTCGCCGGCCGGAGACTAGAGGAAGGCTGCGCAAGAAGGGAAAATCGGCGACGAGGATCGGGAGAGGAAATGCAGGATTGCCTGCCAACGCAGTGATGCAGGTGGTCCAAAGGGGAAGGGTGATAATTTGAGCAATCGGAGATTGGACCGACAAGAGTAATCGTGAGGGTCGCGATTGTCTAGTGTGGTCCGATATGTAGCTTTTCCAGTTTGCTGCACGGTTACGTGGAGTGTAGTAGAGGACCTGCAGCGAAAGGCGCCAGGATGTGTGAGTAAGAGAGTTGATCATGCGACGGAGGAAACAGTGCCAGCGTTATCCTTCGTCCGAGAGAGAAATTGGGATCCCCACTTGCGGAAGTCGAGGGAGCGAAAATGTCTGGAGTAAAGAGTGTCAACAAAATGCTGGGGAGAGGGGGGAAGTCTTGGTGTTCGCCCTCTTAAGAGTCTCCCATCCAGGCGAATGCGGTGTCGTACAAGACAGACAAGGGAGAAGTTCGGAGGGAAGGATTTTGGAAGTCGATTTCGAAGAAACCGATGGATGTTTCAATTGAAAGAAAGCTGGAGTGGGTACTTACTGACGTACTCCGTACCTGTGGTTTGGTAAGGTACGTATTTTCGTATTGTCAACTGGGAATTTCCGGTTACAAACACCCACGCGTCTGCCCCTCGTCATGTAATCAGGTTAGAACCGTTTCCCACCCCACGTCAGACCAAGCCCAAAGATGGTAATCGGTATTCGGATACGGAGTAGTAGAGAACACTGTTCTTTTTCTTTCCTCTTCTAGCCTACCTGCGGGACCCGCACCGCGAAAGTAATCTGGGAAGCCAAGTCCTGGATGTCTTAGGAAGGTGTGAAAAAAACGCGGGCACCAATTCTTTGGTACCAATAGAAACGCTCAGGTAATGATGATATAAGATCAGGATAATGATGATGGTGGTGGACGGCAGTGATGATAACAGAGGCGTTTTTTTGTTGCGTTCTTGATATTCTTCTAGCCCCTTTGAAAAATGCGCGACGTCTTGTCAAGGGAAAAGGAAAAATTCTCTGTCAAGCAGACCCAGGAGTACTATCTGGCGATAACAGCAACGAAGTAGACAAAAGGAAGAAATTCCAAGTCCTATATACTGTTGGCTAAGGACTAGGAAAGGGATAGATAGTATTATTAACCTTTAGTTCAGGTATGCCAATAAGGTAGTCTAATCAAACTGGGCCGTCATTGCTGGGCACCTGCTCCAAGAACAAAGTCTGTTAACGGGTGAGCTGTCCACGAAGCATAGCAACGGCAGCCCAAGCGATTATGAGACTAGCCGCGATCATGAGATCCTATGAGGCTCCTCCAATCTACCCTCTGTCCTTTCTTCCGTCCTTCTACGAAGGCTGATTGGCATTCAGGGAATCAATGGGAAATAGCTGCTAACCTTTCTTTTCCCATCTTTCCCTAGCCTTTATTTTTTCTAATTTATCCCAATACCCTTTTTCTGTTAGCCTTTCCCTTTCCGGTTCTCCCGACGTTCGACCTCCCTACATTTATCTATCCACGTCCTTAACTATCTGGGCAGCATAGCATCTAATTCGATAAATTGGCTACGGAGGACTCCATATAGTATTTGATCACGAGGATTTTGCTCTTCCTCGCAATTGGTAAGATGCCCAGAAGCTGTTCGCTCCACTTCCTACAGGAAATCCTCCTCCTGGAAATCTGTAGGCAGTGGCACAGTGAACGGACATGATCTATTGGATGATCATCTCCTTGTCGATGGTATCACTGTCAATCGTGGGGGAGCAGACAAGCTGATAGGTATGTTGTTTCACCTTTTTCGGGAGGTGGGCGGATTGGGGGAAATCGTTAGTTAGGCCAGGCAGAAAAAGGGAAGAAAAAAGGGGAAGGCGAACAGAGAACATCAATTGCTATGGAAAGTCGGTGGGTACAATCAATCCCCTCCTCAATTTCACCCCCATGGTTAACAGTAGTTGTTGTAACGAGCTCTTTCTCAAGGCAAGAAGGTTAGCTTCCCCACGGATAATCCGTCCTGCATACACGGATACTCGGTACGGAGTACGGAGTTATCCACGTATCTGCCATCACTACGCGGGAGCAGGAGAATCCGAAGCATGCCTGACTGTCGATCCGCAAACACTATTACCGTGTTATCACCATTATTGATGTTACAGATCCTTCTTGAGGCACCGGCACGACGGTCCCTATGGGGAGATATGTGGATCTTGGATTCCCGCCCGCTGGGGTCTCCCTTCGTTTCCCGTTTCTGGGTTTTGATGCCAACCTGCCTTATCCCTGTCGCCCGACTTTTCTCCAAAAAGCCAAAGAATACGACTGGACTATTGTAGAGACTGCATGCAATAGCAAAGGCCCCCTTCCCCAGGACGCTAGTTGCATGTACGACCGTGAAAAGAATTGGGCTCTTCCGACAATCGGGGGATTGTCACCTGATGCGTTCCGACTAGGGATGTGCAGACCGCCTAAAACTTAAATACTATTTTTTGCTGGCAATAGTTGTCTTGTCCCGTTTCGTCATAGTGCCCTTTAATTTCCCTTGAGATGCAATCATGTTTCTTCCCCTCTTAAGTGTCGCCAGGAAAGGGGGAGAGGGTGGGTAAAATTGGATTAAAAAAAAAAGAAAATAACGGAGAAAAGGAAGATAAGGGAGTTGTGCAAAATGATTGCTGGTGCCGCTTTATCCTTACTCGACATTACTGTGGAGCTTGCGAGTGGTTCACTCGCATTTCTAGGTTCGTAGTTGGTACAAGAATGCAGGCGCAATAGAGAGAGGGGGGAGGGGCGGTAATCTGTTGGTAAATTAATTTAAACAGCAAGAGATTTTCGATTGAGTCATCCCAGCCCTGTCTTCATCTCAACGCGGGGGAGAAACGCGGCTAGTACCGTCGTAGTAATATTACACGCGTGTTTGCAAAGCTGAGGCTGAGGCAAAGAGTGGCAGTGAAACCAGTCGGGGCGGTGCGGAAAGGGGGAAGGGGCCGGAAAGTGGAAACGCAGCACGGGATGGATGAAGTTGCCCAGAAACTGCCACTCCTCATCCCATCCCACGGTAAGAGATTGAAAGGTATCAATGTTGCTTCCATGTAACCTGACAGGGTTACGAATCGGCACAAATAGAATCCCGTATTTCTCAGTTCTTCACAGTCTGCTCCATACTCATGGAGGCTTTCGAGCCCGTGGTGCATGTGGTAGTATTTTGGGCGAAACTCTTCAGCACATTCGCCAAGCTCTCTAAAAGCCATTGGCCATTGGTAGCGCGCTCATGCACCACCCAGAGCAATGCTTGGAATTCCTCATGGCAAACGCTTTTGGACTACGACACCTTGATACCCAAGGTAGTACCAAGGCGGCGGCAGCAGGAGGAAGTATGAAGAAGCGGTCAAAGAGCCTCTCTAATCCTCTCGAGCGAATAGAGACAACAAAGAACGATAGGCAGCTTATGGTAACGGCCGTGAAAGGAAGTAGTAATATCACAGGTTCATCCAAACAGAATTCACCCAATGTGGATCTTACTTTCGAATCCATTTCAGTTCTTTCTCCAGTATCTGTCTGCCCTATGACACCATAGATCTGGTTTTTCCGTGGCTCTAGCTCCGGTCGCTCCAATTTCCATGACTTAAGCGAAGTACGTAGTAGACTCTTAAACAGACACTAGCAGATCAAACTACAAGCACTATGTACCACCTACCGACCAAGGTATTGACCGGACACTGCATGGCTGTCCCTACATGTTAATGGACTGCTTAATATTCTTGGCCAGGATAATCGGTGGTGATGAAACTGCCAATTACGCAGTAGCCCGTTTGCTCATTCTTGATGGAAGGCAACCGTCAATAGTAAGCTGCGGGGCGTTTTCCCAACCCCGCACGAAGCTGAGCCATTTTGCTGAGTTGGCGATGCTGCTATCGTCGTCCTATCAACTAACTATCAGCCAATTCAGGTTTCTTACACTCCGTCTTTCTGTGGCCCTGCCACTGAATGGGAACTCGCGTTCTGACCACCGCGTCTTGAACCTAAAAAAGCATTTCTCCGCTCGTCTCAGAACATTCCGGATCGGCCACAAAGCATCATCTACATGTCATCAGTAGAGCCGTTATACGGCCGAGTCGATGCTAGCAAGTGGCATTGTCATATGTTCTAGGGATGTACATCTGCCAGGATAATACTCAGCATGGAGGTTCAGTCTCACGGCCTGGGCATTTACTGCCGATAATGAAGCAGATGAGGGTTTATTCACATCTATCACTATCAAATAGACTATCATGAGCTACCTTGCAACCACAAGCGTATATCGACCGGGCCGTCCGCGGATTACCTAGCCTTTCCTGAACTAGGAAATTTATCCCTCCAATGATGGAGGCGCCGGTGATGCAAATGACCATGTGCTTTGGCAGGGTATCAACGCTCTTGACTCCTACCGGAGGAGGGCGTAGGTTTCGAGCAGGTAATCATCTTGAGAGCCACGATATCAAACCCCGATCTTGCTCCGACCGATCCGTCCTAGATTGGTATCGCGGCTGTGGCGGAAATATTCCTTTGTGATCACGGGACACCTAATCGGTTTCGAACGAATGGTTCCCAGCTGACGACGCAAGGTGGTATGCGCCCTTGATAATCAGCAAAGTTCATAGGCTACCCCATTCATGCAAAGATATCTGCGAAAGAGCGCTGAACTTTCTTGATAAGGGGAAATTGCAACGTTCTCAATGTAGCGTCTGATTAGGTAGCTGAGTAACTGCAGTGCGTGCTTGGAAGATATTCATACCATCATGGTGCATTCTGTATGCATGCACATACAATAGGCAGTTAGTGGGCTGTATTGAAATCCCAGACCCTCCCGTTTGCAGACGCCGATGCTGCTGATCAGAAAGAGGGGAAGCTGAAGGATGACCCATGCTTTAGGTTATCGCCGTCTCGCGTGCATTGATGATTCTGACCGCCTCCTCTTCCCTGGGTTTCCTTCTGAACTAGATGCCTATGGATCAGGCAATCACCACCGCCTATGGCTGAAACATGGAATCCAATCAAGCTGGCGGTGTCTATCAACTTGACGATCCATAGCGGGGGATGTATTAGTCCATGGCGCGAAAAATGACGCATTGAACGGAAGCCGGTGAAGGAGGGGAGTGGATTAGTCAAGTTAGTTGACAGCTGCCAGAGTCATGAAAATGGGCTATGTATTACTTCAAATGTATGCTTAGTGACTACTCTGGACTGTTTGACTGCCCACGCACATATCATAGCAGTCACATATACCCTCATGCTAGTGAAGTAGAATTTTTTCAGTTCCGTGCTACCCAAGATTCATTCCTTGTTTCTGTTTGTAGGAGATAGGAGATAGAGGAAATGGGTACGAATGCAGGGTATTGCCTAGGAAGCTAACTATCTCCCATTATTAGCCAGATAGAACAGCATGCTGACTAGTGCTGATCCCGTATTACTACAAATTCCATGTCCAGCGCTTTAACCTAATTTTATTGAGTAGGTACTGCAAGTCGGGTGCTAAATGCGGTTGAAGGTGGGGTGAGTGCTCAAGTGTTCACACGTGCAGACCTCATAGAGATATCATTGGTTCATAAGGAACATTATCGCATGCCAGACTGTCAACCACTAGCAGTAATCACTATTATACTTCCTAGATACTACCTGGATTTATTCACTGCGAGAAGGTACGATGCTCCACCTCTACTTGCCAAACGAAGGTTCCACACTCCAAGAAGAAACGATGATAAAAAGAAAGGTTACCCGCTTGTAGCCAGCAGTGTTTCCGTGCTTGCGCATAATTGGCCATTACTTACATTCATGCAGTCGCACTGCACATGATTCTTTGCGAAAGGCATACTTCTTTGCGTACTTATGCAGCGACAGGGGTAGGTACCGGACAACCATTGCTAATATCCGAAATTGAGCCTTCGAATACGTGCGGCCTACTCTGACCTTGGTAGGTTAACACTGCTACTATAACTTGACGTAGTACCTACTAAAAACTAGTCCATGCAGACTGCGCTTCTGTCCGAAAGGCAAACTCGGCAACTGGCCTAGGGGGAAAGAATCATACTGGGCAACCAACTTCACAGGGATGATGCCAAGCAGCCACTGCGATTGGATAAGATCACTGCCTCGTGGGGCTGTTTCCAAACGGCGACCCACTCTTGACAGGCTTCCAAGCCTTCGATTGCGGTTTCCTTTCGCTCAGGATCTTACACCCGAGAACTCCTTGCTACGATCACACAGGCTGCTGATGCAGTGTGAAGTGACCCTTGCTACCCCTTATGCTTATGTTTTACCGCACTAGACTGTAGGGTATGGTAGCCGTTTTCAGCCGTATTGACAAAGGTAGTGCGGTTATCATCACGATGTCGAGTAGTGACTGACTGGTAGCCTCCCTAAATTCCCCTTTACACCCAAAAGCAGGATCTAGTTGATGTAATGCAATCCTCTTCGAGCCATGACTGAAAATCAAAGCATCTGTGCACATATTACTTCGTAGATCCTTACTAATACTAATGAGGGAGCAGCACAGTAAATACGCTACAATTTGTCACTGGTCAAATTCTTATTTTACGCAAAGAATCGGGTGAAACGATGACATCATAGTACTGACGGCTAGTCGAAGACGTGCGCCAGAACAGCTTTAATGAGTCGGTCAAATAGGGGGAAACAAAGACGCAGGAGGGAGCTCAATGTTATAGGCGATTCTGAGATATACACTTGTAGATTTCTGAGGGACATTCTTTTTAGAAAGAAAACTGAGCAGTCATTGATTCACAGAGTAAAATGGGGATTTCAAGGGCTGATCATGTTTCCGCCTTGCCGGTGCTACAGTATGCCTTGTATCAAGGTCTCTTTATCGTACAGGTATTAGTTATGGCTCGTTTGTATTGAATTACTATTACCATGGGTGAGTTACCTTACTGTAAACCTTTCGGGTGGTTGCCCTACTTCTAACATGGGAAGGGCATATCCCATCCATAGCCCGCGCGCGATCCATATCGTCAGACCAGAGGTCCCTAGTTACTCCTCCACTCCTTTTACGTCCCTCTGCCAAAACCCTAAGAGACCTCGTCTAAACCTTCAATTTCTGTGGAACAACATCTCATGAATAAATTATCACTTGTCAGTAGCACTGAGGGAACCCGAAGAGCGTTTGACAAAACATTCATGGTTGATTTCCTTCGGAGTACAACTCGTTACCTGCCATCCATGTTATCTATCACGTTGGAAATGTGGTAAGGTTTTCGGCTGCTGTGGCCGGCTGCAGTAATTAAACTGGGCACCCAAAAGTAACTGACTTCAATGTCCTGAAGTTCAAAGGGAAGGCGGCCGAGAGAGCCGTTCCCAACTGAGTGGAACGTTGCGCCCCCTATACCGGGGTCTTGCCATGATGGGCCGTAATGGTTTCCGTGGCTGGTTAATGACATATGCTGCTGGTATTACCGCACTTTAATGAAAAATACTGCTGCTCGTTACGAGCTCCCATACATGCAGTATTACAATTTATTACACAGAGCATCATCATTAGTAACCACAGTAAGTACCTTGAGCATTTTGTCTTTGGCATAGTGAGTCTTGCCGTACCTTAATCCGTCTTCGGCCTCTTTTCTTTATTTTTCCCTGAAACTCTAAAGTTAATAAACCTGTCGCCTGCCACAAGACATCTGTAGAACGAGGCTGCATATCCTGTGCCGCCATCCTTGTAGGTATTGGGGGGCAGGCAAGGCTATACCAACAAGTAGTTGGCGATAGAGGGTGTAAGATGCAACTCCTTTGGTTTCTGTAAGAGTGGAAACCGTCTCAGCTGAGCCTCGTCGAGCCTGTTCCTTCGATGCGTCTTCGATGCTTCAACCTTCTTCGGTCTTTGCAATCCCCGGTCGCACTGCGCATGCTGCATGGTGTCATTCGGCCAACGCCTCGGTCTTGATCCCAACAATGCCGCTATCCGGCTCTGCTATGGATAATCCTTCCTATCAGCCAGCCAGCCAACCAGCCAGACAACGTGTTGTGGCTTGCTGATAGTCGAATGAGTCCTTCCAATTGACTATGCAGCACGCACGGGCAAAGGCCCTCCCTCTACTGCCAACTCCATTCAGTATCGATTATGAAGCCTCGTGACTGTCAATAGTTTGGTTTCTTTTTCTCTTTCTCCTCCGTCCTTCTCTCCCCCAACCTCAGCCACTGATCGTATCAGCCCCGCATTGGGATATAGTTCTTTTTGGCTGTCTCGATGCATCAAGTCTGATTCCCGTCGCTTAGCATACCAGCAGCGGGTACACTCCTACGTCTGGGGAGAATCTTTGAAACATCGCTTGTGACATAGGCTACCGATGCAACTTTTTTTTAGCCGGGCCGGACCCCAATCAGTTCTGAGACATTCTGACTTGGCACACTCGATTCGAATGAATGGGGATATATGCCCGGAAATCTGCGTGTCGTACAAAGTACCCGGGTCAAGTGGGTTGGGGCAACAATTATTCTTGCATAGTGCTAAAGAAGACCCTGGTCCAGGTCCCTGGCCCCAAATTGAGGCTACTACTAATGGCATCGGCCGATTCGGCCCACTGGAGTGGCAATACGACTTCTTAACCAACAGAACTTGTTCGACCGGAAATCTGAATTCAATGGCTTGGAAGACTACTACTAAACGGGCTTAGCCCCAACTGCTAACTTCTACTAGGTACTTTACTATTTGTTGTCTCAATGATTTATCGCGATAATCCAGATATTGGGACCAAGGACAGTGTATCAAAAATCAAAATATCATTGCGGTCATTTAAATGGTCTTGGTCGACTGAGTCGGTTGTGTCTTTGATACTGCCGCTACCTCACAGTTTGCACTCAATGACCATGCTGTTCAATTCTAAAATCACACTGCTACTTCTATATACCTTTCAGATACATGCGGGACAGCATGGCCTTCGTGTATGAGGTTAACCGCATCAAGGATTGCAGAGGCTCGCTTTGCATAGCTACTGAATAATGAAGACGCTCCTGTTCTGTTTCGCATTCGTGTGCTATATACAGAGTCATATTTTACCATTCCAGCCACCCCGGCAACAAGGTCCTATAGAGACTCTAGGGGGGAGCATTTCATATGAGATACTGATTGCTTTGTAGTGATATTATGGATGCATGCAGATGCCTGATCACCATCACTTGAAACCAGACGCTTAAGAAATGAAAACGAAAAAGAAAAAGAAAAAAGAAAAAGAAAAAAAAAAGAAAAAAAAAAGAAAAAAAGAAAAAAGAAAACCACAGGCGTCCCACCTAGTTCCTGACTCACCATAAACTCTTCAATGAGCCCAATGCTTCGATGAAATCGAATCTGTTTCCTTTTCTGGGAGTGACGACTCTAAAGTACTGCTCTTGCTTGCCATTCAGACTCCCACTTTGACTCTCGCATTCTGTTTTCCAATGCGACATGGCAATCACGAGCACTGTCAGTCAAAGCCTATGCTGTCGGCACATCAGCTAAGAAAATTAAACCTAGCAGACTGAACGAGTAGGCCGTGCAGGAAGTTGCACATGGAGTCCGCTTCTGAATGAAAAGCACTAACAATAGACTCAGAACGACTGGCCTCGAAGTTCGGAGGTCTCGTAAGCGCAATATGTATTGACTCACGAGACAAATGGTCTCATTCACTTTTGGTAGACCGATTTTTTCATGGGGTTGTTCATACATATTACTTGGATACGTTTGCCTACAACTAATGCGGTTGTGTTCGGGTCCAACCTGATCTTGACCAACAACTGGGCACCGAAGAGACTCAACGGAAATATTCTCCTCCGCTCCAAGCACCCACTGGGTTCTCATATCCAACTAAGTTAAAACCTCCAGACGCTCCACCGACAGAATATTTCCATGGATCGCAAAGATGCTGTCAAGGCTCGTAATATTCCGGTTGCCCCTCCTTGATTGCGAAACTTATCCCAGACAGACAAGGCCGGCGAACTCCACCCACAATAGTGATGTCTTTTGATGTCTCCCCCATATCAGTACTCGATTGGTAGGATAGTAATGAGTATATCGCAATTTTCACCAGCGAAAAGCCCTCATGGTCCTGAATTGAACTACAATATAGCACTGATGACGTTATGTCAAGGGCAAGCACTCGCCTCGGAATCGTGACCCACTCAGGGTTCACTAACTAGTTAGTGAGTTAGTTTCAATTATTAAGGGTTATTGAAAGCATCTCATTGACTCACAGCACACAACCATCGTTATTTCCTGGCCCTAAGCTGGATCATCGGCTAAAAATAAAACTGGAGACAGCTACTCCGTGTTCCCACTATCCACCACTTTTTCCATTGGACCAGTCGTCTGTATATGGGTTTCTCGAATCCTTCGAGAACCGGGCCAGACGATACAAGCCTACAGAGAAACCGTGACGGAGGCGAAACTGAGCTGCGGGTCTGCCTTTTCCGTGGAGATACAAAATACAGGCCAGATACACGATAAGTACGGTCTCTTGCAAAGCCGGTTATTTCCGCTTCGCAGATTCTCACTCCAATCCAGCTTACTGTGGTCAAACTCTCAAGCGAACGACCCCAGACAGGCCCTAGGTGGGACGATTCCCGATCCAGCATATGCTGCCACTCCAATAAGAACGAAACTCACCCGGCGTCGCCGGCCGCCCTTGCCGTTATCAGATTGGGCTCCGGTTTGCCCTGTGCTACTACTGCAGCTATCGGTGCGTACTACAAAGACTCTCCCTGTCACTGGATGATGCGTATGCAGGTAGCCTGACCTTCCTGCGCCGGTGAATACATAGCCTTCAAGTGCTACTTTAGTGTAAGGAACTGCCTCGCGACACGTGTCACTCCCGTCTATGTCTATGATTTTCCGTTGAGCGCAAGCCGTTGTTTGTTAGAGCTACGGGGTTTGATTGGGGGCAGTAAGCCGAAGTGCTTTCGTGGCGTATCAAATAGAGACGGTCTCTGCCTTGCTATGTCTGTTCTCGCTTTGTATCACGGCAGTTTGACTCTGATTTACATGGGATTTTGTGCCTCTTTGAAAAGTGTCGCGCCACTTGTGAAGGCGTATTTTTTATTTGGATCCCTTTCACGCTCAACGGCAATGCTTCCCGGGACCGGTTTGATTGCAAGGCGGTTCATTTGCCGCACATCTCCACTTGAATTAACCATACGTTATACGGATTCACAGGGCCTCAATCTATACGAAACTCGAATATGGAAGCGTATATATGCCGCTTCTTGAATGATGGCCAATGTGAGAAGGGGCTGGATATTACCAGCAAAGATGATGCCAGAAACTCTATATCTCACGTTGAGGGGCACCTACAAGGCTTCGAGCAGCACGATAACGCCCGCTAGAACCACGCAACAATCAGTCGCCTTAGTCGAGAAGGTGAGGCATACGCTATCAGTGGGCCTGGTAACACAAGGCACTGGCAACCAATTCTGTCGCAAATCAGATCAGCGAGAAATACTAGCAAAACCAACACTGGTTAATCGCCTGATGGTGGTACAGACACCTGACACCCATAGAGGGCCATGGAACATGCCATTAGGTGTGAGCACGAATCGAACGAGGTTCATAAGAAGTACTTGGTGGGATAATCGCTTATTGCAGGCCTTATAGACGACATCGGTCTATCCGGTGCGAAAGTTAGTTCATGACGATGGACACGAAATGTTTTCGTAGATAGCGGAATCACACGGCTCATCGGAGGATCCCCATGACCCAAACATATCCTAAACCGAGTCAACGATCTGACGCCATACGGCTTATTGTTGTCCGACTATTTCAGTGGACTAATCGGATGGAAAGAGTTTCGAGTCTTGACACGTCAGAGACCCGTGTCGGAAGTGCTCGGTCTCGGGAGGACGGCCGTGCGCTGGATCTTGAATCTCGTTTATATGCCGTGTTTTAATTTGAGGCTCTAGGCACCATGTGGAGCTTGTATGCGTCGAGCGACTGAGAGACCTGATTCAAAATAGCGGATGGAGCGGACTTGCAGCATGCTGTGTGCTGTGTGCAATTTCCTGGTTTTCGAACAAGATATAGTTAGTCTGAGCGGTAGTCGGAATTGATCATTGGTTCAGTCACGGCGGCGGAGGGCCAATAGACAGTTTTTGTATCGATGGGTAAACCCTCATCTCTTCGAATCAGAAGGCATGTTGTTTCAAGCTGTTACTCATAGCTTCAAGATGGTCGACAGTGGGCGTAGACTGGTAGCAAGTCAAGAACGGCGCCTTGGGCAACCACGAGTGCAGCAAAGGTCACCTGCTCTTTCCCCAACGAACTGAACTCGCCAACTCATTCCATCCCACTTGCACTCCCCCTCCTTCTTCCCAACTTCCACCTCTATCCATCAATCAAATTCAACAAGATAGACGGACAGCCACTTAGTCACATAGATCTACATCCTTAAGTCCGTGTACAAGAGACACCTGACCAAGATCGACTATGGACCTTTCGAAAGCGGTCGATCGTGCCTTCACCAAATCCCTCCCTAAGATCGAGGCAAGTACATACCCCATGCAAACATGTTTCATTCGAATGGAACGACTCTCTAGCACTGGGGAATAAAGCAGAATCAAGGTTGATCACTAATGTATGTTGTCCCACAGCTCCATGCCCACCTGAGTGGCAGTATCAGCCGCCAATGTCTCCATGAGATCTGGCTCAAGAAGAAGGCCCAAGACCCCGACTTCAGCATTGAAGATCCATGGATAACCATGCCGCCTGGGAAGGTAGATTATTCTCTGCAAACGTGGGTAGTCCCTCCACTCTCATACATGCATTGAAGACGCTCCCCACCAACCTACAATTTCCAGATTCTTCCAATCCTTCAACAAATCAATCTACAATCTAGTCAATGATCTTGCTAGCCTCACCTACGCCACCCATTCCGTGCTAACCGACTTCCAAAACGACGGCGTAACTTACCTTGAACTCCGCACCATTCCCCGTGCATCCCCCTCCTCCTCCTTCACCCGGGAGGAATACCTTACTACCGTTCTTGATGCAATCTCGGATTTTCAGGCCAACCAATCCCCCACCTCCCCGAAGATGTCTGTATATCTGATTCTAGCTTTGGATAGGGGTCATCACACTACTGCCGAGGCCCTGGAAATTGTAGACTTGGCACTAGCCCACCGCGCCCGCGGCATCGTGGGCATCGATGTCTGCGGCAACCCAACCAAGGGTGATGTTTCAGTGCTGCGGGAGGCGTTTGCGAAAGCCAAAGCTAACGGACTAGGCGTGACTGTGCATTTCGCTGAAATGAGGGAGGCGGCAACGCCTGGAGAATTGGGGACACTCTTGGAGTTTCAGCCGGATCGGCTGGGCCATGTGATTCATGTGCCTGAAGAGCTGAAACGGGAGATTGCAAGGAGGCAGCTGGGACTTGAAATGTGTATGTCGTGTAATGTGCACGCAAAAATGTTTGATGGTGGCTTTTTGGATCATCATTTCGGGTATTGGAGGCATCAGAATTGCCCGATTGTGCTTTGCGTGAGTCTCTGCTACTATCATTTTTCCTCATCGCCCTCATTCTCTTACACGAACCGCCAACTGATGCTGGTGCAGACCGACGATGTAGGATTTTTCTGCAGTCCCGTATCGAATGAGTATCTGTTAGCTGCAGAGCACTTTCAGCTCACGCGAACCGATGTGCTGGGCATCTGCAGAAAATCCTACGATGCGATCTTCGGAGGCGAAAAGGAGAAAGACCGTCTTCGACGTCTACTATCTGACTTCGAGGCACATTACAGAACATAGCCGCTGATCGAAGTTATTCATCTTCATTCATGTACACAAAGCTTCCTTGGAAAAGGGAGTATACCAGCAAGAAACAATATACACATATAAGCAAGTCCACCCTTATAATCAGCTCTGCCATCTGAACTTGCCTTCCTTTAGCGTCTTGACCACTCCCAGGGGCATAGACTCCCTATTTACAGCTGCTAGATTTCCGTAAGTCTTTACCATCTCTTCCTGATACAACTCTGCCGTCCACTGCCAATATGCTGACATGCTATACCACATATCCGAGATCGCGTTGCGACCAGTGGTATCCTCGGTAACGCTCGCGTCCAGAGACATCTGGTTTCGGTGCAGTTCTGGCGTCAGGTTGATGCTGATCTCCTTAGGCACACGGATCAACTCCGTGTATGCCTCCAAAAGTGGACGGCTATAAGTTTCCGAGTACCGGGTGTATTCCTCCAGAGTCATGTCAGCCACGTCGTCGTCCAGTTCATTTCCCAGAGAAGTAGATTGCTCAGCAGAAGTCCCTTCGTCAAATCGCCGCTTGCAATCATGGTATTCGACTTCGTATTGCATGAAGGCCTTATGCAGCCGACCCTTAGGCGTTGCTTTGATGTTCTCGCGCATAGCGAGGAATGGGATATAAGGATTCAGGAGTTCCAGCCCACCGAATTCTACAGGGAAGTAGAAAAACCCTTCTGGGAGGTCCTTAACACCAAATCGTTCTGCGATCACTTGGCGCAGGTAGTCGGTCACTCCGCTGGAGGTTCCGGGGAATAGAGTTCGTTCAATACGACTCAGTGTGGATATGGCCATATCTATATGGCTTCTCCCAAAGCACATGGCTGGTTTCGCAAAATTGTTAGCAAAGAACCGCCCAAAGTAACTGTTCCATGCCTGGACCCATGAGAAGACGCTCTTGCAGGATGAGAGCTGGCGCTGTAGCTCTGCAATGTGGCTGTCGACCTGTTCTTGATCAATCACAAAACGACCTTCTGAAGGATCCAGCTTCAGGAATCCCCAGCGAATATCTCCTTCAGGCAGGGGGTCTGACGGTTCCTTTTCCTGAGAGTCAGATGGCCGTCCATGATGGTCTGCCACATCTTTGCCCTTCAGGCGCACTGTTCCCGTTTTTTCCTCGTTTATCTCTAAGCCCATGACCCTGGTGAATTCTTCCATTGTAGTCCAGGCTTTGACACAAGTCTCTTCGTGACCCCAGAACCAAAAGTCATCGTGCAGCCGATATAGATAAGCCCCGTCTGTGCTTTGGTTCACCGCAAAGTCCATGCAGAACAAGACGGCCTCCCCAAAACAAGTGGAAAGGGCATGGCTCATGGGTATTCCTCGGCTCCGAGTTCGCTTGAAGGCACCTGATCCGTCTTGTGCAAAAGTCACCGGAGTTTTTAGGAACTTGTGGAAGAAGTCCAGCCAGATTCGTGGAACACCAAAGAACTCCAATACCACCAGTATGGTAGTGTGCGAGAGAGAGGGTCCAAACCATTTGAAATCAGATCTAATCGCAGTGAATTGGCCGTGCAACGAGGTGTATAGGAGGGACTCGGTGATCAGAAGATGTAGCAGTGAGTGCTTCGTTCCCAGTGGGTTCTTTTTTGCGTTATCAGGCTCCGCATCCTCGCCATATGGGTCCATATTCGCGTCTACCGAGGAAGGTAGGAGGCTCATAAAGTAGTCCTTTTTGTACGTTTCCTTTCGGCGGTCGTTTACACTCGTTGTACCAAGGCGTTTGGCATTCGTCCCCGTGAATCGAGAACGGCGAGACATTTCGCGCCTGGGAATTCGTTCACGGAGAAACTTCCAAGCTGGTGTGTCAAGAAACGAGTTAAAGGCAGATCGAAATGTAACCGACCATTTCATCCCCAGGTATTCGAACATGAGGCTATCCAGCAGATCTTCGTCCATGTATACCCGGTATTTGCCATTCAGCTGGCGACGCATCTCCACTGGGATACCCTCTGCAGGCCAGCTCCAGTTGTCAAGAGAAGCAAGGCGCATATTGAGAACATCTACAACCTCCTGGGCGACTGCCGGGTTGCGCATGAACTCCTTCAGAACGGCCATCTTTTCTTTGGTGAGCAAATCGGACTTTAGCAATGAGTCCGATACCCACTTGAGGTCGCTGACCTCAAGCCAAGATTTCTTCGAGGCAAAATCAGTTCCAAAGGTCCTGACTGCGTCCCGCAGTTGCTTCAATGCTTGCTGTGAGGGTGTTGTTGCTTTAAATAGACCGTCAAGGTATGCTTTAATGGCAGTTCCATCTACATCTGCCTCTGTGAAAACCAGAGACTCCCATGTGGCTCGCTGTTCGTGCATTTCTGACCGACCAACATTCTCGAAATCCATTCCTTGCGATCCGTCCTCGTCCGATACCGAGCTAGAAGCAGCCACCTCTTCGAAGTCACGCAGCCATTCCGTGACTAGCTCGCTATAGAAGTCGGCATGCTTGTGCCTTAGCTCGAGGTAGCTAAGCTCCTGTTCGAGCTGGAAAATCCAACTTTTCAGGCTGCGGTCTGAGACAGAAGGATCATACTTGCTTTGCAGAAGAAAGCGACGAATATTAGCGTGAATAGCGCGCTCAGTCTGATCTTCAACGGCAGTTTCTTCATCCGATGAACCGTCCGTATCTAGGTCCTCCTGGTCAACTGCATCATTAGGGAATCCCTTGAGCCTGGTCACACCTTCCAGGAGGACCTGGGCCTTTGATCGTAGACTGGGCGCATCCTCAGCAGCTTGTACAATCTCTGCTCTTCGCTTCTCGAAAAGATTTCGTTGTTTGGAGAGTTCATTGATTTTGGTTGCAGTGATGGATCCCAGTGTTTGAGGAAGAGCCCCGCCAGACAACATTGCTTCGAAGGCGCGGTGGTGAGGGTGCTTGAAGAGGGCCGGGGATGGGATAGTCCAAACTTGGCGATAAGGATGTAGAAGCAGCCAAATGGAAGGTAAATAATAGAGGAGTTCAGGTGGAGTAGAATCTCCCAAGAAATCTCAAGTCTTTGTCAGATATTCGAGAGCAAAATCTTGTTAGGGAGGTAAAATATGGGATCGATCGACTGAGGATGATCGGCACGGAGCAAGAGCGATATGCTCCATATTAATAACCACATGTGGGACCCCGTGACTCAGGCAGAAACCTCGACGGCGAAGCTTTCGAGGCGATTATAAGGAATTGAATTGGCCATTAGAGAGCCCAGTCTGATAGAATGCCATGATGGGATCATCGTCGGTTCCAAAAAAGGACCCCGACCTTCCAAAAGGGGATCCCGCCGCGCCGACCGAGTCATCATCGGCAACCATTTACGGCGCTGTGGACAACGGTCTGAGTTCCAGCCAACAATCGTCATACTGCATTTCCAGCCAGCTCTTTCCTCGCAGAATGCCCACGCTCCTGATCTGCCATTGTAGAATGAGTCCCATCACCGCTTTAGCCATTATGATCAGTGCCAGATCCTTCCCAACGCAGCCTCGCGGACCCTTGCTAAAGGCTACGAACTTTGTTTCCATCTGCCGCCTGTGTTCAGCATCTCCAGTCCATCGCTCTGGTATCCAATGATCGACATCATCTCCCCAGATCTCGCGCGACCGACTCAAGACATAGGTATTGGCAGACACTGTAGTGCCGACCGGTAGCGGTGTTGACAGGCTGGGAAGGACTCCTTCAGCACCCGACATGATCACACGAGGAAATGCCGTTGGAAAGACTCCTTGGAAACGCATCGTCTCTTTCATCACAGCCTGCAATTCGATGGGGATTGTGGCAGTCGTTATACTCTGACTGGAGACTGCTGCCTTCCTGCGAATTTTATCCTGCCAGACCTGTCCTTCCTCCGATCCCAGATGGTATACTATAGCCGTGAGAGCGGCCGCCATGCTCCCGGGGCCTGCGAAGACCATATTCATAGCTTCAGCTAGGATCTCAGATTGTCTCATACGATTTACATCGTCAATGGGGACCTCGAGCCAGCTTTTCACAATTCCAGGCTTTGGAGATTGGATGACATGTTGGGGATCCCGCATGATTGCCCTGTGAACGGCAGCCGCGAGCCCAGCCATTCCAGTCTGTGCACCATCTTTATTGTAGTAAAGGCCGCGAGACAAGGAATTGACGATCCAGCTATTCATAACCCACCCGTACATTGGCCAAAGAGAGTAACTCCAGGCTGTCTTGGTCATCTTGCGAAGCTGCGAGCATATGGCACCGGCGGCAGCACTATCAGTATATGGGTTCGATGCTATAGCCGAACCAAACAGAATTTCCACCATTGTGTCCAAGGTGAACCGGGTTACCAAGGGAGCCACGTTTGCAGTTGAAATTCCTTCTCCTGTCGGGTGTCGGGACGCCTCCAGTCGCGCCAGTAGGACTGCTACATGTTCTTCAATAACAGGCTCATACCTTCCTACCTTTGAACTCGAGAGAGCCGGTCCTAAGACCTTCCTTTTTTTCTGGCGGTGAATAGTATCCGACTTTGTTGAGAATATACTCGCTTCACGCTGGCTGGGACTTCGTCCAAATGCATAGAAATCACCCTTTTCAACGGACTTGTTGAATCCATAGATAGCCTCAAAGTCTTCCAAACTCGAGAAAGAGAGCCAGTTGGGGGCAACTCGAACTACAGGGCCATATTTCTGATGAAGTTGCTGTTCAGCAAGATGGAGTTGGCCGCTCATGAACTCGAAGAACCGCCTTTTATTCGCAACTAGTCAGCTCAAAGACTTCCGTAATACGCAAAGGATATGGCTGGGTGAACACGTACCAAAGGTTCGTGAAGCGGGCCCAAAACGGGCCTGGGTAGTGTGCCAGAGGATGGAAGTAGTATAGGTAAACCATCCGACTAACGAGAGTGAGCACTATAAGCTGAGCTATAAAGACAATTAGTGAGCCCATTGTGAGGTATCATGACCGTCCTGATTTGTTCCAGCGGCACGATGAGTGTTTGGCGATATGTGATTTTTACTGAGCAGCAGACGCCGGGTAGATAGGAGTAGAAGACAAGTAAGGCAAGACCAAAAGAGCTAGAGACCCCGCCACGTCACGCGATCGGTGTGATGCACCC